CCTTTTTAAGGCTGAATAATATTCTATTGTATGTATTAATACATAGCACATTTTGTTTATCCATTCACCTGTTGATGGACATCTGGGTTGTTTGCACCTTTCGGCTACTGTGAATAATGCTGCTGAGAACTCTGGTGTACAAGTATCTGTTTCAGTTATTGCTTTCATTTCTTTTGGGTATATACCTAGTAGTGGAATAGCTGGAACATACAGTGACTCTATGCTTAATATTTGCAGGAATCATCACACTGTTTCCACAGCACTGCACCATTTTAATTCCCACCAACAGTGCACAAGGGTTCCAATTTCTCCACATCCTCATCAACACTTGTTATTTTCCATTTCTTTTATAATGACCTTCCTAATGAGTGTGATGGGTACCTTACTGTGATTTCAACTTACATTTCCCCATTGATTAATGATGTTCAACAACTTTTCATCCGACCAGTGTATTAACTTTTAATATAGTGTTTCTCAAACTGGAAACCCTTGTATTTTTTCACTGAGAAATGCTACCATAGGGAATAACTTTTAATATAATTAATCGGGACTACAAGAATTTTGAAAGACATAAAATTCAAGATCCATGAAATGTGTGTGCTCAGTCTCTCAGAATGATTTATTCTAAATTTTAAGTCACCAAAAAAGATCACTGACTCGGTTCCGTGGTAGTGCTAAGGCATGAGCTCCTAAATCACTTGATAGTGAGCAGCATTTTATTAATGGAGACCACTACTCATATGTCAGTTTTACATTTGTTAAAGTTGAAGTGTAACATTTACTTTTCTTGAAACAAAAATACCACACACATTCAATTCCCTTGGATTTTTTAAAAGTCAGATATTGCTAAATGTCTAACAGTATAGCTTCTAAAGTATCCTGAATCAATAAAAGAAATGAATAGCAGGCCTTATTTTAAAGAAACAAAGAAATAAATTAAGTCATTTCTCTTGTAATATGTTACTAAAATAAACACCGCAGTTAAACCTTATTGCAAATCATACAACATTTATAGACTTTCTGATAACACCACCCTTCATCTTTTCCTTAGTTTATCTTCCAGATAAACATAGCAGCTAAAAGTGCTGTAATTTCAACAGCTGCCATCAATTAGAGAATCAGGAAGGAGATCAATGTTTTTAGCATTTGCCAACACAGAACATAGCTAATTTGCTCATAAAACCTCAGGAGCTGACATATTTTTTAAGTTACACGAACACATTTACAATATTAAGTTTTACGGCTCCTGGTAATATTAAGGTCTACCTATGATCTTACTATAGAAATTTGTATTTTAGAGATTTTTCATTATACAGAACTGAAACATAGCAGTCAAAAGGTTGTTTTTGTTCACTGTCATCTTTGTCAGCGTGTGAATAAGGAAAGAGGAGGCGGAAGTTAACGAAGCATTGACCCACACTGTCTGCAACCGCGCCTGGACCCAGCCCGCATCTGGGTGCGCAGCAGTGAACGAGACATCCCTCGGTGGACACCATCAGGGAAAGGGGAGGAAGATGGAGAAGAGGAGAAGAGGACGGCTATGGTCCCTGCCGTCATGGACTGTACGACCTAGAAATTAACTAGCACCTGGCCAATCACTGGCTTGAGAAGAAAACAAGCAGATTTTGGCAATGGAAAAAAGTCATCAGAAAGTGTAGCCAAGCTCTAGATCTCAGTGTCAGCAAGACCTAAGAAACAAGGGGGAGATGTGAGGGGGGGAAAGGAAAACAAGGGAGAGATCTGGCTGTCAACACCCAGACAGGACTCAAATTTAGCATCACTGCTAGTGGGACAACCAGCCCCGGGGTGCCTGCTGGTGTGAGGCCACACGGAGTAGCCAGGGTCGCCGAAGATGTGCTCTTGCCAAAAATATCTGACTGGAGTTTAATCAGGTCTCTGGAGCCGAATTTAGTTTATAGGAAATAGAAGGCATAAAGGAACACGTTAAATAAAACCACGATGAAACAATCTGACAAATCCAGGATGTGGGACGATCTACAAGACAACTGGCCTGGTCTATTCGGAAATTCAACATCATTCAAAAGAAAAAAGTGGAGCCAGGCGTGGTGGCACACAACTGTCATCCCAGCCACTCGGGAGGGTGAGGCAGGAGGATCGCTTGAGCCCAGGAGTCCGAGGCTGCAGTGTGCTAGGAATAGCCACTGCACTCCAGCCTGGGTGACAGAGCCAAACCCCGTCTTCAAAAAAGAAAAAAAGTAGAGAACAATTCAAATTAGAAGAGATTCAAGAAGCATGACAATCAAATGCAATGAGTAATCCTCATTGGATCCTGGTTTGAAAAAAAAAAAAACTATAAAAGACATTGATGGATAAATTGGAAAAATTGGATACGGGTGGTAAAACTGATAGGAAATTACTGTTAATTCTATCAAGGGGACTAATGGCATGGTGTCTATTCAGAACAGATGTCTTTATTTTTTGAAGATACGAACTGAAGTATGGGTAACATGTTGTGATGACTGCAATCCACTTGGAACAAACATGGCCCCCTGCTTAAAAACCCCTGACTGTCAGGGGCAGGTAAATCTGTGTTCACTGCATACACTCTCTACATATTCAACGATGTTCATCATAAAAAAGGCTTAGTAAATAAATAAATCTGAGAAAGGTTTGCTCCATTATAGGTGTAATGTACTCTTTAAAAAAACAAAACAAAACAAAAAAACCCTGAAAGCATAGCAGAAATTTAATACTGTGTAAAAGGTAAAGAAATTTCAGAGTACTCATTATTTTAAGTTATCTTATTTAAGAGGCCTACCTCAAAACACCAGAAATTACCCGAAGAGGTCTATAACTATGTGTCCGTGCTTGTTTTTGCAATACGCCTTAGAGATCTAAAACCCATGTTCCCTTCTGGAACTCCTCAAGCTGACTCCGTCCAACCTAAAGCAGGTGTCCCCTCAGGATAAAGGTAAGTCAACACATTTCAAGACAAAGGAGAGCCTAACATGGGTTTGAAATCTATAGTAAAATGTGCAGTTCTTAATTTGGCCAAACTCATATGATATCACGTTCCTAGTAATGAACAAGGTTATACCTTTTCCCTTAGAAAAAGGAAAATAAATTGGAAAGGTGATGGGGAAAAAAAATCTCCCACAGAACCTTTCTTACCACTGGGATAAAAACAAAGGCTGGGGCAAAAATAAAAACAAAAACAATAAAATCTCTTTTCTCTTTTTCTTTAGGGAAATTTGAAAATATTAAGGAGTGTCATGTGCATTCAGGTCTTACCTCTGAAAGCTGTCAAAGTGCTGTTTTACTTCTACA